TGGGGGGGGGCGCTTGGCGGGCGGCGGCGGCTTTGGCGGCGGCTTGCCCGGAGGCGGCCGCTTCCTGCAGAGACAACAACGAGCGAGCTGCAGCTGAGCCACACAAGGCAGAGGAGAGCTCTGCGGCAGGCAGGGCAGGCCCACAACCCGCGGCACAACCTACATTCCAGGCAGCGCAGGGCAGGGCATGGCAACCCGCGGCACGGCAAACACCAGGCAGGCCGCTCACGCTGGCGGCGGCGACTTGATTGGGGGCGGCGGCTTGGAGGGCTTTGGTGGCGGGGGTGGCGAGCGCCTGCGGGAGACACATGCCAGTGCCAGGTCAGCACCGCAGCAGGCACAGCGGGGCATGCTTTGCTGCGCTGCCAGGCGTGGCTGCCCGGCACACATCCAGAGCTGGGCTGCGTGCTTACGTGGGGGGTGGTGGCTTTGGATTTGGCGGCGAGCGCACGCGCGGGGGCGGCTTGGTTGGCGGCGGCGACTTGCTGCAGCAGCGGGCGGAGCAGGCAGCAGGGCCGAGCGGTCAGGGTGGGGGTGGCCTAGAGGAGGGGTCCACAGGCTGGGGTGTGCAGCAGGCGAATGCAGGCGCTGTCCTGGGTGGCACGCCGCCGGCCATCAGCCAGACAACTCACAAGGGGGGTGGCGGGCGAGGGGACGGCGGCGGCTTTGGCGGCGGCCTGAACGGCGGCGGCGGCTTCACCGGCGGCGGCGACTTGATGGGCGGCGGCGGCTTGAACGGAGGTGGCGGCTTGCTGCATTTATAGAGGACAGTATAGCAATGTTCAAGACGGGTGGGGGTGGGCAGGCTGGCAGGTGAGACTGCGCAAGCTGCCACGCACACTGGCCCGTCCCCGGTCCACTCATCCACCCACCCACCCACCCACACCCACACATACACACACACACACTCACGTGGGCGGCGGCGGCCTGGGAGAGGGCGGCGGGTTGGGCGGCGGGCGGAAGGGAGGGGGCGGCTTCACCGGCGGCGGCGACTTGAAAGGCGGCGGCGGCCGGGGTGAAGGCTTGGGCCGTGGCGGCGGCTTGAAGGGCTGCAAGCAAGATGGGGAGGGGCCTATGGTCGGTGCACCAGCCAGCTGCGGCAGGCCCAGCCAGCGCCAACGGCGGCAGCCAGGCACAGCCCCACACCAGCGCCGCCCCGTGGGATGGAGCCCTGCAGCAGCCAGGCGTGTGCAGCGGCGCGCACCGGAGGAGGCTTGGGCGGCGGGCTCGGCCTGGGCGGCGGCTTGGGCCTGGGCGGCGGCGAGGGCGGCGAGGGCGGAGGCCGCGGGGGCGGCCTGGGGCTGCAAGCAGAGCAGAAGGAGGGAGGGAGCGCGCTGTGTGAGGCACAACTTGCGGGCACACGCTGGTGGCTGGTGCATTCACGCAGCATCGGGCGCCTCCTGCCGTCGTGCTTTGGCGCTTCCGCCTGCGGTCCTACCTGGGCGGTGACGGAGGCTTTGGTGGGGGTCGGGGAGGCTTGGGAGGCTGCGGCGGGGATGGCGGCGGCCAGGGCGGGCGGGGAGGAGGGCGCGGCGGGGGCGGCGGCGGCCGCGGCCTCGGCGGCGGCCTAGGCGGCCGGAATGGCGGCGGAGGCCTCGCCGGCGGCGGCGACTTGGCCGGCGGCGGGTTGGACGGCGGCGGGGCGGGGGGGTCTGCCGCGCCTCCTCCATCCGAGGCCCCAGGGGCAGGAGCATCAGCCGGCGTCGGCGCCCCGACCGGTGCCGCTGCCGGCGCCGTGCCCGGTGCTGCGCCCGGTGCCGCGCCCGGCGCCGCTGCCGGCCCTGCTCCCGGCGCGCTTGCGGCCGCCGCGATGAGCAGCCTGGGCACCAGCAGGGGGTGGCCCTCTGCGTCTACGGGCTCGTAGCCAGGGTTGTGTGGGGCATAGTAATAGGCGGCAGGAGCATAGGGCTCATGACCTGCCTCCTGCTGGTAGTACGGCTCGTCGCCCAGCAGCTCCGGCATGCCGCGCCCCACGCCCTCCCCCTCAATCAACAGCCGCGGCGCGCTGAGCAGGCGCCGGCGCCGCCGCCGCTGCACCGAGCGCGACGCCGCGGGCTCATCGCCTGCATCGTCTGCCGCCGCCGCCGCTTCGGCGACGGAGGCCGGGGCCGGCTGGATGAGCAGCCAGTCCTGCAGGGCGCCCTCCGCGCCCAGCGGCAAGAGCTGGGAGCGGCCGTCCTCGCAGCTGGCCTGCGGCAGGCAGGCGAGGCGGGAGGCGGCGGCACGTCAGCTGGAAGGCCACGGCATGCATAGACGATGCTGCACGCATGCATGCTGCAGCGTGGTGAAGATGAAGCGACTGCCAGACGCAGCCTGCATGTGCGTGTGCTAGCGCCCGACCAAGCTGCCCACACAGCTGGCGGCGTCCCCACGGGGCCCCACCTTCAAGCTAAGGTATTGGGTCGGGCAGGCCAGGCTGCGTATGCGCTGCCTGCTGCCGACCGTGCTAAGTTCCCACAGTGCCAGCGACTGTTCAGGAGGCGCCTCGCCCGGCAGGAACACCGGAGCAGCGCGGCCGCACTGCAGCGCTGCCAGGTAGCGGCGGGCGCACGCCGTGCGTCCCACAGCCTGCGCAGCAGATGCGGCATGTGTGGGTGAGGTTAAGCATGCACCAAGCGAGCCCACCATGCCTGTCCGAATCGCAGCACATGAGCAGCCAGGGCAGCAAGCGCCGCACCTGGATGATGACTGCAGTGGCGCCGCTGCTGCCGCCGCCGCCGCCGCCGCTGCCGGCGGGGCGGACGCTAAACTGCTGCACATCCCGTGGCAGCCGCAGCTCCGCGCCCAGCGGCGCAGCGCTGCCGCATTGGTCGGAGTCTAGAAAGCCTGCAGCAGCCAGCAGGCCTGGTCCACAGCTCAGGAGGGGAGCTGCCTGCATTCTCTCGGTACCGCCCCCCCTTGCAGCTTCTACCGCCGCCCCGCCGGCGCAGGTGGGCACGCCCAGCACTAGCTGGCGCTGCCCAGTCCGGTCTCCCACCTCCATCTTGGCAACTGGCACGCCCGCTGGCCAGCCGCAAGCGCACAATCCTCTCCCCCAGGACTTGGGCATCCGCGGCCCACAGCAGCAGCAGCAGCAGTGGCTGGACCAGCACCACAGCCCGACTCATGGCGACCCTCCCCATCGGGGGGCAGGGAACGTAGCGCACATGGCGCCGCTGCTGCTTTTCCAGCCCCCCACGGGCTTTCCTCCCGGTTCGGGCGGCCTTCCCCGCCAATCTGGGGCACCAATGAGCCGAACGAGCAACCCATGATCTCATTCAACCCAGCCCAAGCTCTCCACGGGCTCCAGTTCCCGCTCAGGCGCCCTGGGGAGGAATTTCCACTACATGCCCAAGCGATTTGCTGTTGCCTGCAGCTTGCAGCTCAGCCTGCGAGCCCATTAGTCGATGCACGCCGTGTTCACGGCAGCTGGGCCTGTTTGCCTCCACAGGAGCTGAGGGGATGTTGCCGGCGGGACAGCAAAGGGCAAAGCGCCGCCGCGCCGGCAGCGGCGGAGCCAGCACTCTCGCTGCGCCTCCTACGGTTGGCTGCAGCGTCTCAGAAAGGGACAACTCAGCTGCAGTTGTATCAAAAGCGAAATGTAAGAAGCAGGCGCACTGCTGATTTGATTCACTCTGCCGCATGCTGGCCCTCCCCACTGCTGGGCTGGGCTCCCTGCTGAGGGTCGGGGGAGGCAACATAGAGCGACTGTGGCCGCAGACAGCGTTGAAAAAACTGCACGTATGATTCAAGGAGGAAGAAACCACGGGGGAAGGAAAGGAGTGGGTGCAGACATGAAACCCCATGCCTGCCTTGGCAGAGGCCGCAGCTGGCTTAGCAGCGGGCACCATGGCGACGGCACAGAGTGCCTTTGAGAAGAGGGAGCGTGCTGCTGAGGAGGTGTTCTTCAGGCAGGCGAGGAACCCCGCCTTGGATGGTTGCTGGCAGACTCTCAGGCAGCGTCCAAGGCTGCTTGGCCTGGCCCAAGCTCCGCAGAGGCGGGTGGTGCTGCCGCCAGCCGCCGTGCTGCCTGCCGGCACGCGACTCTGCTGCAGGAGGAGAGGCTGTCTATGCTCAAACGCCTGGAGAAGCTAGTGGCACAGGTGAACAACACATGTAAGGGAAGCTCAGGTTGGAGGCTGGGTGCAGGGCTGGGGCTCACTCGTCCCGCTTGCGTGCGGCCCACCGGCCACCGAGCAGGGGAGGCTGGATGCCAGCGTGCTTGATGAGGTGAAGAAGGCCACCTCACCCGACGTGCACCATGCAACAGGCAAGCAGCCCTCCAGCTGGCGCCAGGGCATTGTTGTGGGTAGGGCCAGCACGGGGTACCCATGGCCTGCCTGCACACAAGCCTGCAAGGTGACGCGCGCGCATCTGGTGGTGGTGCTTGCAGGCGTGGAGGTGTCGCCGGGAGTATTCAAGGATGTGCCCGGCGAGGTGGCGGCACGCACCGAGTACGTCTATGCCCACACGCCTGGCAAGGCGCCACGTAAGCTCCTAGCTGCGCGCAGCTGCTGCCATGCATGCATGTGCACGGCGTTTGCGTCGCGGGCAGCGGGTGCTTTGCGCCGCCCGCCAGATGCAACGAAGAAGCCGCGGCGGCCGTGTGGCCTGCAGTTCCCAAGCCATCAGAGACGGAGCGGATGAAGACTGGGATCCACGTGGACATGGGGCCCTCCAGGTGTGGTGGGGGAATAAAGGTGGGGCATGGCGGTGGCGGGAGCAGGCAGGCTGGGCAATCCGGTACGGAGCGGCTGTAGTGCAGCGGTTTGAGGATGAGGCGGCCAGCCCCGGGGGGCGCTGCTGTCCTGATGCGCTGCGCACGCGAACTGCACGTGTGGTGGCGCTGCCCCCACGCCCTCTGTATCCTGTTGTGGCAGGTGGAATCCTGATGGTGGGGAGTCCATCTTCAGCCTGACAGAGCGCTTGGCAGAGGGGCCAGCCAAGGTGAGGTGCAGCTGAACAGAGCCGCCCCCTCTGGGCATCTGGGTGAACGGCTACTGCTGCCTGCTGCTGGTGCAGGTGCAGGCGCTGCCGCCGCACGAGGCGGCGCGGCTGGCCAGGATCCAGGCTGCAGCTGGCGGTGTGCAAGTGCCGACCCTGTTTGGCTACAAGTGAGTTGAAGAGCATGCTGCCTGCGCGCAGCCCGCAACTGCTCCCCAGTCAGCAGCATGGCAGTGCATGCTCTTCAGGGGTACAGATCGAGAACACACTGGCTCGTTGCTTGGCTGCTACACATGATCCCTGCTGCCCTGCCTGCAGGCTGGAGCCGCACGCATCCCGCCGCACTTTCTTCCTGGGCTCGCTGCTGGCCATCGGTGGCACCGCTGCGCTGGTGGCAGCTTCTGGTGGGCGCTTGGTGGGCGCTGCGCCCTCTGCTATAAAGCCCTCCACCGCGCCTGCTGCGCCGTGAGCAGCTGCAGGACCAATCCAGCTCCCGCCTGTGCGCCTGCACCTGTGCTGCAGCACGCGGGCTGGGCCCCGGCGCGGGCGGCCCCGCGGAGGAGGCGGGCGGCAGGGCAGCTGGCACGTACAGGTGGGCTGGGTGGCTGGGCGCAGGGTGAGCTGCAAGCAACCCCTGTGCAGCTGTCTTCACCTTGCCTCCTCCAAGCCTGTATGCTGCCCATCCCTCCCTGCCCGCAGCCCCATGGGCGAGCGCCTGGCCGGCATCTTTCTGCCCTGGCGCACCCGGGTGGCTGGGCACAGGGTGAGCTGCTTGGGAGGAGGGGGCAGGCATAATAGGCACATTCTGGATGTGCAGGGAGGCTGCTTAGGGGCCTACGGCCCGCCCCTTGCTGCCAGCAGCCTGCCATTGCTGCCTGCATGATGTGGCCGTCCCGCCGCTGCAGGCCAGCCGTGCCGAGGTGGAGGCAGAGCACGGCGAGTTTGTGCGCCGCCTGAAGCAGCGCATGGTGGAGGGCAGGGCCTGAGGCGGTGGCGGCGATGGAGGGCCAGGCGAGGCCGGGCCACCGCCCTGTCGGGAGGAGCGCACTTGTTGTGACGCACGGCGGCATGAGGGGACACCGTGGCGTGGCAGCCATCACTGGAGAGGCCGTTACTACAGCCAGCCTGTGGAGTTTCCAAGCACCACCCGCTTCAGGGCCGGATGACCTCCCAGCTGGGCAGCAGTCTGTCTGCAATGTGTTTGCTGTGTGCAATGAATCAAAATTGGCAGTTGTGAACAGGTCGGAAGGTGGGCAGAGAGTGACATATGGAGGTGGGAAGCAGCGCAACATAGCTGCTAGCCGCACTCCTGCTGGCCGCCGTGCAAGCTGCCGCCGTCCGCGTCGCCGCTGTCTGCGCTGGCGGTGGCGCTGCGCAGGATCTGTGCCAGGTGGTGCTGCACGAGGTCATCGTACCGCATGTACCGCCTCTCAAAGTGTACCTCCTGCAGGTACAGGTCCATGGCAGCCTGCGCATCCTCCCTGCACCGCCACCAGGCAGCAGCAGCAGCAACAGACACAAGTCAGGGCAGGGCTGCTGGGGCGCTACTGCTGCACCAAATGCCAGCGTCCCATCGCAGGACGAAAGCCAGCGCTGCACCAAGGCACGCTGCTCAAGCCCGCTCGCCTCGGGCTGTGCCTGCGGCCGCTGCGCTGGATGTCCCGCCCCAGCTTCTCGGCGGACAGCTGGCGCAGCTTGCGCCCGGCGCCGCGCCGCCCCTGCAGCTCCCTGCACTGCCAAGCGAGCCGGCGGGCAGCGCCATGGGCAGCGCTATGAGCAGCCGGCACGCTGCTGCTGGGGCACATCGCATGCAGCGCAGGCGCGGCACAGGGAGCCAGGCACAGGGCGGGTGCGCCCACCACCGTCCCGCAGAGAAGCGCCCTGACCGCTGCTTGCCTGTACCGCAGCGTGTCCCGCACGTCTGAGGCGGGGTGGGCCAGCGCCAGTGCCGCCAGGTCTTTGCTGAGGTGGTGCCCCACCAGGATGCGCCCCGCCAGCAGCGCCGCCAGCCGGGCCCGCACCTCGCCCAGCGGCGGTGCGTGCTGCCACAGGGGGGGCGGCAAGCCGCCCACGTGGCGCCAGCGCTGCGCCGGCAGCTCGCTCTCTGCGTGCGCACGCAAAGCAGCAGGGGGCGGGCCTTCAACAAAGCGTGCAGCAAACTTCAAGACAGCAGGCGTCAGTGCGCGTGTGCATGTACCGTACTGTACCGCACCGCATTGCAGGCGCGGCGGCCAGCCATGCAGCCCAGCCAGCATGCCTGCTTGCCGGCTGGAGGAGCTGCCCGCTGGCTGCCACTCCCGCCCGCTGGCCAGGCCAGGCCAGGTGCTACGGCCGCGGGCCGACGCGCACCCAGAGGGTTGCAGCGCTCGTACAGCAGCACGCGCCCGCCAGCATCCACGGCGCACACCTCTGCCGGCAGGCTGATGTGGCGCCAGCGTGGCGGCAGCGCCAGGTGCGTGTACTCCACATCCAGCCCCACCAGCAGCTCCACCTCCTGCCGCAGCCGGCTGGCTGGCGGCTCCCCTGGTGGCGCGGCGCCTGCTGCCACCGCCGCCGCCGATTCTGCTGCTGCTGCTGCTGGGACTGTTGACGGGTCTGCAAGGGGCGGCGCTGCTGGGGCCGACCCTCCCGCGGCCTCTGCTCCTTGCGGCCCTGCTGCTGCTCTGCACCGCCGGCGCGGTGCCCACCGCCGTGCGTACTGCTGCGGCGGCGGCGGCAGCGGCAGGCCTAAACCTGGGGAGCATCTCCTCCCTAGCTGTGCCACTGCTGTTCCAGCACACCGTGGGCCGCCCAACGACGGGACACAGGCCCAGGTGCCAGCTGCTGCTGCCGCCGTGGCCATACCGGCGCTACTGAGACTTGCGGCTTGTGGCGGGTGCTGGCAGGGGCGGCTCTAGCCACGCCGCGATGATAAAGGCGGCCAGCACTATCTGCACCTGTCATCAGGCAACAAGAGGAGCCAAGCAGGGCTCGGTCAGAGGCAACAGTCCCCTGCCCAAGCAGGCGGCGGCGGCGGCGGCGGCGGCGCACGATCGGGCCGCTCACTCCAAGCACGGCCAGGGTGCCCGCCACCACCACGCGGTGCTCCTCAAGCAGCTCTGCGCCCAGAAGAGGCTGCAGCAGCCCGTCCAGGCGCCCTTGATAGGCCGAGGAGAAGGTCGAGAGGGGGAGCGCCACCATCAACAGCGAGAACACGAGTAGCGTGCCCAGCCCCATACTGCTCGCATGATATGGTGCCCTGGAGTAGCAGCAGCGGGCGGAACACACGCAAGGTGTGTTGCCACCAGCTTGAGCGCCCGCCGCCCTGCACGGCATGCAAAGCGGCAGGCGAAGCGGCACCACGCGCTCAATGGTAGCCCCTGCGCGGCTAGCGTAGCTGTCCTGCTGCTAGGTTCTACGTATGTAGTATCAGGCGTGATGTGCCTGATTGTGGCAGGGGCAGTTACCAGTCTGATATCGACGCCCTACACCCGCTGCCGCTGGGCGGCACGCGCCACCGAGTGCAGTGGTTGGTGTAGCTGGCCACAGAGCGTGCACAGGGCAACCTCAAAGCACATCGTATAAGGAAGGTGGGGCAATTCTCAGTGACTCCAGGATCAGGGATACGCATGGCGGCGCCAGGCGGGAAAAAGGCGTCCTGGAGTTCACATGAGTTGAGCCTCCCTCGCCACCGCCACTCTGACCATCAGCCGCCATGGGCTCCGCCTTCTCCGCGCCTGTAATTAACGACGTCTCGACCTGCCTCGAGGGCGCGCCGTCTTACAAAAATTCTCAGCATGCGCCAGAGCTTCCAGAAAACTTCAAGAAGGTGAGCACACGCAGGAGAGATTTCAGCGAAGCCGCGTTGGTGGACCTGGGAGCCTGGCGGCGCACCCTGCTCGAGCGGCGGCTGGAGCCACGGCGGCGGGAGTGGTGGCGCCAGCTACTGCGTTGACCCTTCTCGACCGGCCGGACGTGCACTCCCACGCCGCGCAGGCGATCATCAAGCACTACCCACACCTCAAGCCCGTGGTTGTGCCCGGCGGCCACCTGGAGGATGTGTTTGCCGCCGCAAAGAAGGCGACCGAGCAGCTGAGAGGGGCGCGGATAGTGTATGAGGATGAACATGGCGGGGTGCTGGAGCTGGTGGACGTCACGCCACTGCTGAAGTTCAAGGACGACGTCGTGATCAGGTGGGCGGGCGCCGCCTGCCGCGGCTGATGCGTAGCGCAGTGTTGCACGTTGTCGACAGGGCGCCTCCCTTGCCAGGCCCGTGCTGCCTGCTTCTGTCCAACCCTTGGTATTCCCTGGCCGCGCTGCAGGGTGCAGCAGAAAGGCGGCGACGTGGTGGTGGATGTGCGGTCGGCGTCACGGCTTGGGAAGGGGGACCTTGGGGCCAATGCCGCGCGGATAGCAAAGTACCTGGCGGCGCTACGGGCATTGCTAGGGCAAAGCAACGACAGTTGAGGAAGTGGCAGCAGCAGCGGCGTGCTGGGGCTGTTACATGGCATCCGTGCTGACAGCTCAAAAACAAAATGAATCGACTCAAAACGGGAATCCCACTTATCCCATCCATTTAAGCGGTTACAGGTGCAAATGTTGTGAGGTTTATTAGTGAGACACATGAATTGAGAGTACACGAGCCGTGAGCGGTAAAGAAAAGCGTTCACCCACGAATGCCAAGCAGGGGGATGGGCCTCTGGCGGGATGCAAACAAAATTGTCAAGCTGGAAAAGTGTGCGGCTCTTGCGCGCTCGTTACTTCGGGTTGGTTGGATGGGGATGTGGCTGGGTGGACGAGACAGGCCAGGCGCAGGGTGCCAGGGGCAGGGGCAGGGTGCAGAGGACGGCGCTGCAGCTGCTCTCCTCCTGCCATCCAGCTGCTGGCGCCGCGCCCGCGGCTCACCAGCGCTTCACCATCGAAAACACCATCTGCAGCATCTCCAGTGGGCTGCCTTGCCGGTTCCTGCGCGCGCGCAGCTGCTCCACGGGCGTCTGCGGCTCGGCAGCCTGCGGCGTGGCGGCCGCCAGCGCGGAGCGCCACCCCACCAGCAGCACGCCGTTGACGGCCATGGAGACGGCGATGAAGGAGGGGTCTGGAAGGTAGCCGCGGGTGGCGGAGCGCAGCAGAAGGCCCGCCGGGATGCCCAGGGCCCAGGTCTTGGCGGCCGCTGCAGCCGCTGCCCCCGTGTCGCCGCCCTGCGCCGCCTTGCCGTAGCCGCCCAGCAGCCAGCCGGAGGCCAGGCAGCCGGCGATGAAGGGCCAGGCGGTGCCAAAGGCCGCGCCCAGGCTGATGGTCTCTCCGTGGCTCACCCGACCAATGGTGGCAAACAGCAGCAGCACGGCAACATCGCCGCCCGCCAGCAGCGCCACACGCCTGCAGCGAGGAGGACACAGGCTAGCAATGGGTCGGCTGGCACCAACAGAAGACTGAACTCCGATCCCGCTGCCGACGCTAACCGGCACGCCTGCCTGCGGCGAGCAGCAGCGGCGGCGGCAGTGCTTTCTTTCTCACCCCCAGTTGTCGGGTGTGTCGCCACTGTCCAGTGCCACCACACCCGAGAACCGCGACTCGCCCAGCGTCTCCACGCGCTCAATCTGCGGCCGGCAACAGGGGTGTGCTTGGGCAGGAGGCCAGGGGCGGCAGGCAATGGGTGCCAGGCCACTTGGGGATGGTGAGAGCCAACACTGGCTGGGCAAGCAAGCTCTGGGCCACACCTGGACGTTGTCGCCGTAGGGCGAGGGCGGTGGCACGCGGACACGCGGCTGGGGCGGCACCCGCACGGAAGGCGTCGGAGCCGCCTGCGGCGGCGGCGGCGCCGAGGCGGAGGCCTCCCCCTGCTGCTGTCGCTCCCCCTCGGCCACAATTAGCCGCCTGGGGGCCACGTGCACCGCCCTGGCCTGCCTGGCTGCCCCCGAGAGGGCGCTGCCCAGCAGGGCGCGAGAGCTGCACTGCAACGCTGCGCGCATGGCGTCGGGATGGGGCTGCTGCTACCTGCAGTGATTCAAGAATGCGCCAGGGTTTTTGATCGGGCGGGCGATGAGGCAGCCACAGCCCCGAGGCGGGGAGGGCAGAATGACCCCGGCCGCATGCCGAGTGCAAGGGGGGGCGCCCCGCCTGCCCAGGCCTCTTCAGAAGGCACGTAGAGGGGTGTCTTCTAATCAGGACGCGGAGAACGTCTCTGGAGGTGAGAGCGCCAAGCGCGATGGCCAGCGGCGGCCTCAGCAGCGCGGCAGCGATCACGGGGCAGCAGAAGGACAGCACATGCCGAAAGGACGCGGCAGGGAGGGCCCCAGGCCCCGCACCGGCGTCATGCCAGGCGCCATGCAGGGCAGGCAGCAGCAGGGCAGCCAGGGGGGCACACCAACACGGTTTCAGCTGCAGCCTACATCCCCATTTATGCCCAGCACCGGCAGGGGCCGCCGTCGCAGCCACCTCTCTCCCTTTGGGCACGGGCCCTCTCTGGCGCTGCTGCTGCCCCGTTTCTCAGCCGTGGGGCTGCCGCATCCTGCTTCCGCTCTCGAGTCACGCCCATCACGCCGGCCCATGCGTCTATGGGTCCATGCGCCCCCGCCCGCACTTCTGTCGCCGCCGCTCCCGCCTCTTTCCCTATTCTTTTTTCCCCGTCGAGCGCAGTTCAGCAGCAGCCAGGCAGCAGCAAGGAGCAGGCAGCAATCCTCAGCGCCCAGCCAGCCAGCGCAGCAGCCTGGACCCGCCGGCGTTGCTGCCCTCCAGCATGTCGCCTGGCTGCATCACCGACCGCCCCGCTGCCTGCCTGCGCCGCCCCGTGCTTGCAGGGCAGCCGCCATGCCGTCCATTGGCTTCTACCGCAACTATGGCAAGACCTTCAAGAAGCCGCGGCGCCCGTTTGAGAAGGAGCGGCTGGATGCCGAGCTGAAGGTGGTGGGCGAGTTTGGGCTGCGCAACAAGCGCGAGCTGTGGCGCGTGCAGATGGTGCTGTCCAAGCTGCGCGCCCGCGCCCGCGACCTGCTCACCCTGGACGAGAAGGACCCCAAGTGAGCGGCGGCAGGCGGGCCTCAGGGGAGGGGAGGGGATGGCCCGGAGGGGCCCCCGGTCGGGGCGGAGGGGCGGGAAGGAGGCAGCAAGGCGGATGCGGTGTGCCACGGCACCGCTGCGCTCCCACGCGGCACACGCGCACGAAGTGCGACTGTCAGCCTGCGATGCACGGATGCTGGGACAGCGTGGCAGCCGCGGCGGGGCTTGCTGCGCCCGCGGCCCCGGCAGCGGCGCTGTGGAGGGGCAGCCACCAGGCCAGGGGCAGCAGCTGGGAGCGGGGCATGCCGCACCCATTGCAGCTGGTGCAGCGATTCGCGGCCAGCAGGCATGTTGGGCCATGTTGGGCTGCAGCTTGGTGCTCAGGCGCACCAGCACCCAGCCACCCCATGGTCCAGGCAGCCTGGCAAGCACAGGGTCTAGCGTGCCGCCGCGGCCCTGCCCACGATGCTGGCACACTCGCACGGATGGGGAGCGGCTGGCAGCAGATGGCGCGCTTCCGTCTCCCTCCCTCTGCGGGCCCACCCACGCCAGCGCCAGCCAGCCCCCTAGCTGACCCCTCCCTGCCTCCCCCCTCCACACACCCCACCCCCTGCAGGCGCCTGTTTGAGGGCGAGGCCCTGCTGCGCCGCATGTACCGCTACGGCTTCCTGGATGAGAGCCAGAACAAGCTGGATTACGTGCTGGCGCTGACGCCCGCAGACGTGCTGGAGCGCCGCCTGCAGGCGAGGCGCCGCCGCCCGCTCCCCTGCACCCATCCGCCGGCCGCTGCGCGGCCGCGGGCTGCTCGCGGCGCCGCCTGCCCGTGTCCGGCGCCGCCCGCGCCGCTGCTGTTTTCTTGCTCTCTGGCCGGAGCTGGCCGCTTGTTCGCTGACCGAGCCTGCGCACGGCCTGCCCACCCCTCCCCTGCTCCCCTCCTGCCCGCAGACGCTTGTGTTCAAGCTCGGCCTGGCCAAGAGCATCCACCACGCGCGCGTGCTCATCCGCCAGCGCCACATCCGCGTGGGCAAGCAGATTGTCAACATCCCCTCCTTCATGGTCCGCGTGGACAGCCAGGTGCGGCGGTGCAGCGGGCGGGGCGCAAGGGTTGGAGGGCGGGTGGTGGTTCAATCCCAAGGGGGCGCGCGTGGCATGCGAGTAGCTAGGCCCAGCTGCCTCCCTGTTGCTGGTGTGTAAATGCTGCGGCAGTGCCGTCACCCCATTGCTTCTCGCTGCCACCTCGGCTCACCCTGCCCTCTCCTGCCGCCCTCTGCCATCCGCGCGTGCCGCAGAAGCACATTGACTTTGCGCTCAACTCGCCCTTTGGCGGCGGCCGCCCCGGCCGCGTGAAGCGGAAGAGCCAGGCGTCCAAGGGCGGCGGCGGCGACGGCGAGGACGAGGAGTAGGCAGCTGCAGCCTGATGAGCCATCTGTCAGCTCGAGTGGAGTCCAGGGGGCGCGGCGCAGTGGCGGCGGCCCGCCGCCCGCGCACGCCCCCTGCGGCGGTGCTCAGGGCGCGCTGCTTGGTTGTGAGCGCGTGCCGGCCCGCCAACAAACGCAATTAGCGTGCTCCATGTGCAAATGACACGTTTAACACAACACCCGCAGAGGAAGGAAGAGGAAGGATGCAGCTCCCGAGGGGGGGCCGGCCCAGCGCGCGCAGCAGCGGTGGAATTAGAACTCATCCTCAGCTCGGTTGATTGCTTCGTTGTCCTCTCAGTGCATGCATGCCATCCCACAGCGGTGGATCACTTCCAGGCGCTGTTCGGCCGCAGCACAGCGTTTTGTCGGCGCCCCAGCCCGCCTGGGAGCTCCTCGCAACCTCTTGCAGCTTGCATCCCACCGTGCCTGACCAAAAGGGGCTGGGATGCAGGCAGATGAGGCGCAGGCTGTCAGCCTGCGCGACCTGGTGTTTGCTGCGGAGCAGGCGTACACAGCGGCGCGGGAGGCTGGGGCAGAAGCACAAGGGACCGAGGATCCAGCAGCAGCAGCCGAAAGCTCCCTGCTGCAGCTGGGCAGCCTGCTCTGCGTGACGGCCGGGTCGGCGCCCGCTGGCCGCCAGCAGGCCGACGCCCTGCTGCAGCAGTGCGCCAGCCGGCTGCACAACCTGTCGGTGCAGCAGCGCCAGAGCGATGCCAGGTGAGAAGACCTTAAGGGCCACTTTCGTGAAGGTGCAGCGGCGGCTGCCAGGCACGGATGTGGCACCGCACTGCGAAGCACCCGCCTCTCCCTCCCACCCTGCCTTTCACGCCGCTCCTTTGCCCGCCTGCAGGCGTGCACGCGTGGCGGAGCTGCTGAAGCAGGCCGGCTGCCCTGAAGGCTTCCGCTTCACCAACCCAGAGGGCTTTGACCTGGGAGCCAAGCTGCGGCAGAGCGAGCCGCACAAGCTACTGCTGAGCGGGCCGCTGCCCAGCCGGCCGGTGCAGCTGGCCCAGCCGTTGCCGCCTCAGCAGCTGCCGCCGCAGGAGCATGGGCCCGTGCCCGCAGCGCCTGGTGTGCTGGCTGAGCAGGCCAGCAACCAGCAAGCGCCGCCGGCTCGGCGCTCTGGGTTCCAGGTGCCAGCCGCCAAGCCCAGCCAGCCTGGCCACCAGCCCACCGCCCTGGATGCATTCCGCAAGGGGCAGCAGCAGCAGCAGCAGCAGGGGCCATCAGCACCGACGCAGGCGCCGGCGCGGCCGGCGCCGGATAGCCGGTGGGCCGCCAAGCTGCCGAGGCGGGCGCAGGATGCTCACGTGCACCAGAGCCGCAGGCACAGCAGCGAGGAGGAGGTTGTCAACTTGGATGGCAGCGGCAGCGGCGGGGAGGAGGAGCAGGAGCAGGGGAAGGGCATCCCCGGCTTCCAGACCGCCAGGAGCAAGCTGATTGCGGATGCGCACAGGAAGGGGCAGCAGTACAACCCCAGCCAGTTCGGCGGCGGCGGCGGAGGAGGAGGAGGGTGCGGCGTGCCCCGCCAGGGCCTGGCGCGCCCCGCGGCCGGCGGCCTGCGCCCCGCGGGGCTGCGCAAGACGGGTGCGGCAGGCTGGCGCGTGGGACAGCCGGCCCACAGGCCTGCCCTCTGGTCTGCCCTGCCCTGAGCCTTCTCACCGGGCTGCCCAGCCTCTGCTCGCCGCCCGCTCCCTGCCCCGTACGCTGCACAGGCGCCGGCGGCGCATTTGTGCCGCCGTACGTCAGGAAGGCTCTGGAGGCGCCAACCGGCGGCGGCGGCGGCGGCGGCGGCGGCGGCGGCGGCGAGGAGCAGGAGAGCCCGCTGTCGCTGCGCACCTTGGAAATCCTGCGCCTGGGTGGGCGCCTAGCGCCGCCATGCACACGGGCACGCACATGAACACGCACACGCACACGCGCATGAGCCTTTCCTGTCCTGCTGCCCCGCCTCCGCGTCCCCGCTGAACCCACCCATCCACCCTTGCCTGCGTGCTGCGCGCCGCCCGCCCGCCCTGCAGCCGCGGGCGACCCGCTGCCGGAGCCCCTGGCCAAGCTGGACCCCGCGCTGATTGAGAGTGTGTGCAGTGAGGTCATGGATTCGGGGGGCCAGCTGGGTGAGCGGCGCTGTGATTTGGGCGCTGCCCCCGCCCCCGCCTGCTGACGCTGCTGACGCTGCTGACGCTGCCAGCCAGCCAGCCGGCCAGCAGCCGAGCAGCCGAGCAGCCATGCATGTGCGTGTGCTCCACTCATGCCTTCAGGCCGGGCCATGCCGGCGTGCCCGCCCGGCTCCTGCCGCCCCGCCTTTCCTCCCACCGCTGCCCGCCCGCCTGGCGCCCTCCCCCCTGCTGCCGCAGACTGGAGCGACATTGCGGGGCAGCAGACCGCCAAGGACCTGATACAGGAGGTGGTGGTGTGGCCTGTCAAGAACCCGCAGCTGTTCACGGTGGGCTGGTGTAGGGTGGGGCTGGGGCTGCGCGGGTCGGCCGGCCGGCCGCAAGCGGGCCAGCGCAGCCGATGCCACATGGGCGCGGCACGCGGTGCGCCCATGGCAGTGTGCCATGGCAGTGTGCTTCCTGCCTCCGTGCATGCGTGCCTGCTTGCCTGCCTGCCTGCCTCACCTCCTGATCCTGGGCCCCGCCCTTTGCGCCCCGCCGCGCGGAGCAGGGCGCGCGCGCGCCCCCCAAGGGCATCCTGCTGTTTGGGCCCCCCGGCACCGGCAAGACGATGCTGGGAAAGGCCATCGCCACCAACATCTCAGCCGTCTTCTTCTCCATCTCAGCCTCCTCCCTGGTGTCCAAGTGGATGGGGGAGGGGGAGCGCCTGGTGCGCGCGCTGTTTGCGGTGGCCGCCCACGTGGCGCCAGCTGTCATCTTCATCGACGAAGTCGACTCGCTGCTGTCGGCCCGCAAGAGCGACGGTGGGCGACGGGGCGGCGTACGGGGCTGGTGGGGCTGCGTGTGGCGGGGCGCGGCCCTGAGCAGCGGCAGCGGCGCATGCCGCTCCACCCCTGCTGGAACGCAGGCAGCGCGGCGGCAGCTTGGGTGGCGGCACCCTGCCTCCCCCCTCCAGCTGCTCCCCATCCCGCCCCGCCCCAGCCTTGCCCCCCGCTGCCCCCCGCTGCCGCCCTTGCCCTCCCGCGGTCCTGCTTCCGGAGGCGGGCCTTCCCTTGCCCACAGGGCCAGCCTGCCAGCCCGCCTGCAACAGCCACCTCACCGCAAGCTGCTGGCCTGCCGACGCCCGCAGGCGAGCACGAGTCCATGCGGCGCCTCAAGACGGAGATACTGGTGCAGATGGAAGGCATAGACCCGGCGCGGGCCGACCGCCGCGTGCTGCTCATCGGCGCCACCAACCGGCCCGAGGAGCTGGACGAAGCGGCGCGCCGCCGCATGCCCAAGCAGCTCTACATCCCGCTCCCAGACGCAGGCGCGGACGGGGCTGGCCGGCCGGCCGGCTGGCTGGCTGGCTGGCACTGCTGCTGTCGTGGGCGAGCCGCAGCTCCAAGCATCGTGCACTCCTGCTCCCGCCTTTGCCCGCGGTGCCGGTGGTGGGCAGCTGCGGGGCGGCGGAGGGCCTGCAGGGTGGTTTGCGCTGCCTGTGGCAGCCTGTGACCACCTGCCGCCCGCCGCCGTGCTGGCCGCCCCCGGCCCTGCGTGCGGAGGGGGGGGACGGGGCGATCGACGGGTGTCGCTGAGCAGGGCAGAGA